CTGGGTGCCGGGTGCCGGTGCTGGTGCTGGTGCTGTGAGCAGGCAGCACCGGCGCCCGGCACCCAGCACCGGCGCCAGCAACCTTTCTCCACCACTGGGTGCCGGGTGCCGGTGCTGGTGCTGGTGCTGTGAGCAGGCAGCACCGGCGCCCGGCACCCAGCACCGGCGCCAGCAACCTTTCTCCACCACGTTGCGCAGCCAGCTCACAGCACCAGCACCGGCGCCCGGCGCCCAGCACCAGCAACCTGTCCCCGCCACGCGCACAGCCAGCTCACAGAGACAGGTTGCTGGTTCTGGCGCTGGGCGCCGGTGCTGGTGCTGGGTGCCGGGTGCCGGCTGAGCGCGCGGTTAAGACGGGCGGAGGCGCTGGTCGGGCGCTCGCCGTTGCCGGTGTTGTCAGCTGGCAAAGCGCACTGGTGCTGGTGTCAGCTGATTGCGCGCGCTCTGGAGGTGCCGTAAGCTGGCTGCGCAGGCTGCGTACATTCTTGTTCCAGCCAGTCGCATGTCAACAGGTCGTGGGATTCTGCCTAGCTATCTGGGTCTATGCTGGTGTAACTTAGCAACGCGCCTGCTGCAGGAACATGCAAAAAAGCGTAGCAACCCACGCTAAAGCCATTGGAATCAAGGAGGCGCGGGTGGGCCTCATTGGCTTGGCTGATTTGCATGTGAATGATTCATGACTGCCTGCAGTTGCTTTCAGGGCGCCTGAGACAAATAGTGCACAGACATGTACTGTACGTAAATACTGTGCGTACATGAAACCTCACTTTGAAAGGCTGCTGTTGTAGATATTTGTTTGTACGTATTTTTTGTTTGTGCTCGTTTGCCCTGAAAGATTATGCTGTCAGAGTTTTGCGTTGCCTTAGACTGCGTTTCTTTGCTTTTGGTTTTGTCACATTATGTGCCAGTGTGTGCTTTGTAGATTGCGAAACAATTTTTGGATTCAACGTTGTTATCACTTGGTTGTGGTGTTTGATTGTGTGTTGATGTGATGGCTTGTTTATACTCCTTTGACAAGTTTGTATTGTTTATATATTATGCGATTATCCTCAGTACAAATGACATGTAATGCTGACTGTCGGTGGCCATTCTGTCATGCATTTGCAGCAACCACAGCAGACTCTGCAGACCAAAGTTGATGCTACCATAGCTTTGGACATAGCTTTGGATAGAAACCTTTGTCGCAAAGTGCAGGTTGGGGACCTCATAGGCTCTGTGAGATGCGCAGAGATGCCAGATGGTAGCAAGGAAGAGTTGAAGAGCACCTGGGAAGTCTGGCTGAAGGAGAGCATTGAAGTCGGCGTCACGCTGACCTAGTCCAGCACACGGTCGTCCACTCACCCACATAGAAAATACATACACACGCTTGTTCTTCTGGAGATTGGCAGAATCATTCCAAGTCAAAGGATAATATATGCTTCTATTGAACTCAGACTGTGTGTTCAGTTTCTTGGTTTTACTGGAAGGGTGAACAAAAGCAAGGTTTCGAAGACCTCAAAAATAAACTGGGATGCCTGGTAGGAGTGCAGGCATCAGAGTGATGCCCTGAAACATGAGATGCATCGCAAAGGTTTGGGTGAATGATCGCAAACTCGTTGAGCGCATCAGTGTAGCGCGTGCAGCCCAGGAGATCGAAGGGCATCACAGACCCATTTTTTGTGTCTTCCTCGTGTCAGACACGCGAAATCATTCTAAAAAGTTGTGCATGTAACTAGGTTACATGTAATGTAACTATCTAGTAGCTTAAGGTCTCGCGTGTTATCGGAATTAACCACACAACTCACTCCACCAACTAAGAACGGCCACAAATAGATGGACATGCATCAGCAAAGCACTTAATAGATTAGATGTACTGGATCGTGTGAGGTCCTTGGCTTAGCCTTTGGCCATGCAACACAAGTCCACACAAAGCGAAGCCGAAAATGCGGCAGGAAGTGACCATGGTAATTCCAGACTAAGGTTCTTGGCTTGGGTTTTGGCCATTCAACACAAAAGCAGAAAACCAATCTAAAGGCATAGTTGCACGTGAACATGAAGCTATACAGCAGGAGGTTCTTGGCTTAGCCTTTGGCTACTTCACATAAAGACTGAACATGTAGCAAAACGAGCTAAGAGCATGTTCAAACATGAACATTGACATATGCAGGACGAGGTTGTTACCTTGGCCTTTGGCCATTCCATGTCAAACTCGAACCAAACGTTTGATTGAACGTGAGCATGGATGTATGCAGGACAAGGTTCCTGGCTTAGCCTTACGACATTCAAGTGTAGAGCAGGTACACGCTTGAGCGTCCCCAACCACTTCCCTTTCAGAGACCTAGCTTCGCTTGATCAGGTCAGTCACATGACACCTGATACCCGGCATTTGGTGAGACAACTTTTGCCGAGTGCATTTTTGACAATGGCAGCCCAAGAAAGACCTGGTCCCAAGACTCAACAACTTGAGTACCAACACTTGTGTGAACGCATTCAGTACTTTGTCGCTGCTGCATGCCATGTTGCTGTTGCTGAACACACTGCATGGAGGTTTGGTGAGACAAATGGTACCTCCCAGATCGACGGGAATCGACGGGAGTGCACATATAATTGCACCGTTCTAATCCAGCTCAAATCTTGTCATGCTTCCGTCGCATCCCTTGGATGCAAGGACCATTTGGGCAATGGCGGCGAGATCCCTGTAGGGACCGGTGGAGAAAGGGCAAGTTGAACGAAGTTTTGCATGTGCAAACCACGTGCTTTCTCTTTCTGGAGCTCCTGGTGTAGAAAAACTACAAATTATATGGTTGGAGTTGCAGGCACAATTAGCAGATTGCTTTCTGATTGAAGTGCATTTCTTTTCTGGGGTATGTTCAAGTTGGCAAGCGTGCCAGGAATCTACCGGAAAATGCTCCTGGTGCTGACCCTCGGTGGAGAAGCAAAGGTGCCCAGGCCCGCTCCAGTTGTTTGGGATGTTCTACCTCTCATTGCCACTACAGTTGAACGGGGATTTTGATTTCGCTCGCATGGCACTTGTTGAGTGGACAGCACATTTATAGTATAGACGTTTAGTCTCTGTGTGTTTGTGAGAGAACTGCTGTTGAAAATGACATGCACTTAAATGAACCACATTGTTGACTAACGCCAGCAGCCTACCAATTCTCCAGCCAGCCTACCTCGACAGAAAAGCAGCAGCCACCAGCAACAGCACCAGAGCGGCAGTTCGAAGCAAAATGCTGTTGTGCATCAGGCTGCTAGCACTTCGCCAGCGCTTTTGCAAGTATGTAGGGTCGGAGCATGTTCATAACAAGCGTTCCAAGGGGCTAGCTTTCCTGGAAGGGTTGCCATTTCAGAAATTGTGCTCTCAAAGTGCCACCGCACAACAGCCTTATCAAGCCTGCTGAAGACGATGCGGCAACAGGAGGCTCGTTCCCTTCCACGTATCCTTCCCTTTTCATCGATAGGAAGTTCGAAGCTGACGCAGAACATGATGATTCCTCTTTGGTGTGAGTCTTCATGCCAACCTCTGGCGTGAGCTTTTCTTTTGTGGGCTCTTCCTCCGCTTCCTCAGCGCTGCCAAGCCATGCAGCAACAGTTTCCAAATCGCGGCAATCTTCCAACCTTGACTCCTTTGATTTCAGCAGCGCCCGAATCTTGGGTTCCTTGGTTCCTTCTTCCGGGTGCCTCTTGACAATGCTTTTTTAACAAAACCCTGATGCTCAGAAACTTAAGCTGGTTCTGGCTGAACATGTTCACGTTTCTGTGGATGGGAAACTTCATCACTTGTCATTAGTTTACGTTGTTCAAAAAGATCTTCAACAAACAGTGATTCAGTCTCTTCTTCATTGAGGTGTTCGCAGGCAGATCATTCCAAACAGGCACGTCATCCCAATCAAAGTCAATCTTTCGTTCGAACATGTTGACGATGCACTCGGATACTTGTGAGTCGACTTCAGCAGGATCAGGCTCTTACTTTTCAACCCTTAAACCATGCAAGATGCTATTGTGGAATTGTTGTTGAGAAGAGAATTGGCACTCAACCTCGCCCTCCATCAAGAGTTTGAACAGAGGATCATATTTTGACCAGAAGATTTGGCCTCAACGTGCCGACACAACTGGTTGTAGACCAAGAGCTTTGGTGTGTCTTGTGTGAATCGGCAACAAGCCATTCCACCTTTTGCTGACAAGTAGAAGTGTTTGAAAATGTTCCATCCAAGAATGTGTATGGTTGAGCCTCTCATTGGCCTCAGAGACAAGAGCTTCTTCAGAAGGGCTTGCCATTCTCGTCCATGCGCATCAAACTCTGGCCGCAGGAGGATGCGCATGAGCATCTGGCAGTGATTGCATGTAGAAATCATGGACAAATTCAATGCACAATTTCATGCACTCTTCGACCTCGATCTTTTGTTTCTGTCAAAACGCATGAAATGCTCAAAGAATTCCGGATGTTCCACAGCATTCCAGTGTTCCCTAGAGCCCTCAAACATTGCTTCAACACGCTCAGCCTCTGTATGAGGTTGCATGACGTCTCATTCTGTACGGCATCATTGTCAAGGAGAAAGCAGACCGCTTGCTTCACAAGCTTTCGCGATTGCCTTTCTTTGCACAGCATCAAATTCCTGAGCATTTCTTGGCACAGTGTTCGGTGGAGCATAACTTCGTGTCACCCCAAGACGCAGGTCCCGCAGAGCGGGTGCCTTTCTTGAAAGAAAGTGCTTCTAACAAGTCAGTGTCTAGTGCCTAGACAGAATAGCTTCTAGAAACATTTACTTTCACCGGTGGTAGCGTTTGCGCGTTGAAATCACAGCTCTTGCAAACAACTCTGCACACGCTTCACCAGCGGTAAACAGGCGCCACTTCACTCGATCACTGCATCTTCACAGGTCGCTGGGTGTGTCCCCTGCCTGCCGTAATTACTAGCTTCATCCTCCGGTTGTTTGGGTTGCTGTTCAGACTCCAGAGTTCGATCAACTGGCCGGCCTGTCAGGCAAAACCATCCCTGAACCTCGGGGGCGTTGCAGGCCCTAGGGAAGGGAGGGCGTCGTGCTACACAGTTGCACGTGGCACCTCAAATCGTGCATCATCTTGTCCTTCGAGGCAGGAACTATATATATATATCATCATATATATATATATCATCATATATATATATATATATATATATGGGCTCGTGACGATTTGGGGGCCCCCTGTGAGATAAGATAATCATTATTTGCAAGTATGGTTTATAAACTAGCCTTATAGTTTATAAACCATATCTTCGCATACTTAGATAAGTCCGAGCCCATATATATATAGAGATATGTTTGTCATGCCACACATATCTGTCATGCAATTCTGGTACATGGATACGTTTCATCTGCTTGTAGCTCACTAACTTCAATGTCTCTAATACATGATGACCGACCTGAGTTCCATCATCTGTACCTCACTTCTCCAACACCGAGGCAGCAACATGAATTCCATTATTTGTACCACACCTTGACCGTGTTTCCATGTAGCGGTTGAAGGGTCTACTGCCAAACAAATTGGATTGTGTGTTTCTCACCCGTTGCAAGGGCTTTCAGTGTTTTTGCTAGATTCTGCTGGCTCACCTCGTAGATTGGCCATGGCTCCAAAAGCGCAGTTGATCATCGGCACTGCCTCTACACTTGCGGCTGGCCGCCTGAGCCTCGACATCCACCTTGCCTCGGAGGCCAGCTTCACTGCGCAGAGTCAGCCTCAGCAACCTGACTCTGCTGAGAAAGCAGTGGTGCCAGTTCCAGACGTCCACAAGCTGCATTCGGACATTGCTTCAGGCAAAGTTGTGGCGTGTGAAAGCAAACGGCTGCGCACAGTCAAGCAGTTGCAGAGCCACATCAATTACTTTCAGAGAACCCATGGCTTGGTGACTGGACGGCTGGGTGGTTGGAATGGCCTTGCTCAGGCTGCTCTAGAAGAATGGCTTCTCCAAAATATCAAGGGGCGTAGCAGTTCACCAGCCCTTGCCATTGAAGATGAAAAGCAGGAGCATCCCCAGGCATCAGCAGCAGCAATCCCTCTTGAAGATGAAAAGCATGAGCGTCCCAAGGCATCAGCGGCAGACTCTCTCCAAGACAACATGGGCCAGGCATCCCCCGAAGCAGAAGGCCAAGCGGCGCAGGCAGACTTTGAAGCTGATGCTGCTGCTGATGACGAGAAGACCGGGTCTGATGAAAGTGCTGCCTCAGATTCTTCGTCCTCAAGTTCCTCCACCAAGGGCGCCAAGCGGCGGCGCTTGTTGAATATGGCCCTGACCAACCTCGAGAGCCTGCAGACGAACCTGCAGGAGGTGCATTCTGACTGTCATGACTGCAGCCGCCTCATTCTGCAGACCATCAACGCGATCAAGGAAGCCATCTGAGCATTGTCTGGCAAGAACCCTGAAGAAAAAAATCTGTCTTGCTGCTGCTCCTCACAAGGGGCCCCCAAATCGTCACGAGCCCATATATATATATATATATATCTCATATCATATACATATACGTCATATATATATATAATATATATATATATGAAAATGTGACCATGCCGGATGACATGCCGGTATGTTCAGGCTCAGACCCGCCCGAGCAGGCGAAAACGGGCGATCGCGCGTTCATCCACGTGTTTTCATGGTAGCGGAGCCGACCCGGGGGGCTCAATAAAGATACCCGGGAAGAGAAAGAAGATCCAGGGAAGAAGGAAGAAAAGAAGAAGTTGAAGTGCAGAAAGAAAAGAAAAAGAAAGATGGATGAGCAGGTGGCAAAAGCCTTGGTGGCTGCCCAAGAAGCGGTCAAGACCTTGAAGGAAATGAAAGAGAAAGATGGAAAGAAGAATGGCGAAGGATTCGCCGCAGCAAGCAAAGTGGTGAAATCTCCTGAGGTCTTTAGATCTCCTGAGGTCTTTGAGCCAAGAAACATGGAGGAAGAGCTGTCCCAGTGGCAGGATTGGCGGCTAGCTTTCAAGAGCTGGATCACGTTTGCTGAGGAAGCTTACAACAAGGAGCTCGACACGATAGAAGGCTCTGAAACGGAGGTGAAGCTGACCACTGAGGGGAAAGGAAGAGCCGAGAAGCTCTATGCCATTTTGGTTGGGCTTCTACGGAATAGGCCCCTGAAGCTGCTAAGGGCTGTTGAGGGCCGGGATGGCTATGAAGTTTGGAGGCAACTCAGCCTTCAACTGGCTCCAAAGACGAGATCGAGGTCGATCGCTTTGTTGCAAGCCTTCTTGAACCACCCCAACTTCACGAAGGACAAGGGGATGACCACGCTGGAACAGCTGCTTGGTCTAGAAAGATTGGCTGAACGCCAAGGTGGCCAAAGAGGACATCAGCGACAACGCCAAGCTGAGTGTCTTGTTGAGGGTGATGCCAGCTGCAGTCCGACAGCATCTACAGCTGCAGATGACAGAGGACACATGTTGGCCTATGAGAGGACCACCACCTCATGGGGAAGGAACTGGCCATCACCAAAGACCACGACAAGAACGACGAGGTGATCCCCATGGATGTCGACAAAGTGAAGGGCAAAGACAAAGGCAAAGGAAAGGGAAAGGACAACGGTGGCAAGTCCAAAGGCAAACAAAAAAAATATGCCAATGTGGACTACAAGGGCAAGGGCAAGCAACAGAAGGGAAAGGATGGCAAAGGCAAAGATGCCGAAGGAAAGGGCAAAGGTGTATCTCCACACACCTCTGTGGCGGCAAGGGCCATTGGAGCAAGGAGTGCCCTACGAGGACGCTGAGACAAGTCAGTGAGACATCCTCCACAGTCACGACATCGGTGGGGGACAGTGCAAGTGTGGCCCAGGCATCGGTTGCAGCGCCATCAACAAGCTCAAAGAATGTCAGAAGGGTCGAGACAGTGATCCTGGATGAAGATGAAGAGGACGATGCAGCGGTGCATGTCCGCATGGTGGGGGCTGAGATCTATGACCTCACCTACAGCGACAATGATGAAGACTGGATCATGTTCAAGGATCCAGGTGAAGGTCAAGAGGAAGCTCATTTTGTGGGCCAAGCAATTTCACCAAGAAGAAGAGCTCATCTTCAGACCAGGCATGGCCTGGCAACCGGAAGACATTGCAGTGGTAGCAGTTCATGATGCATCCTTCAACAATCTTCCAGGTCACAAGAGTCAGAAAGGATATTGGCTTGGCGTTTCAACCCCGGAGTTGATCAAGGACAGGACACAGGTGCATCACATTCACTTTGTTCATTGGACATCGTCCAAGATTAAGCGTGTGGTACGGTCAACCTTGAGCGCTGAGGCCTATTCTTGTTCAGAGGCTCTAGGTGCTCTCAGCTGGCTGAGAGCGACCATTCTGGAAGTGTTGCATGGAGAGCTGGACATGCGCCATTACAAGGAACATTTGCATCGTGTGCCAGGTGTCACAGTGACAGATTGCAGATCCCTCTATGATTGCATGAAATCTGAACGTGTGCTGCTCTCGGATCGCAGGTTGTCATTGGAAGCAGCAATCATCAGGCAGAGCTTGCAGGAGGGCATTGAACGCAAGTGGGTACCATCAGAGCAACAGTTGGCAGATGCGTTGACCAAAGCTCTCCACCGCAAAGGCTTGGCTTATTTGAGTGATGTGCTCTACTCCAACAAATGGACCCTTGGTCCTGATCCAAGGCTTCCAGACACCTCAAGGAGCAGAAAGCTGGAAAGCCCAAAAGGCGGAGAAGGTGAGAAGCCGTGAAGAGGCTGAGATCATCAACAAGAAGCCGATTGAACTTGATGATGAAAGTTCAGAAAGCCCCGACACAACAGCCTTGACATCCACAAGTGCCGGAGCGAGCGCGAAGTCAGTACTGATGTTGTCACTAGCGCAGCAGTTCCTCCCAGCAAATGCCGAGCAGGACGTGAAGACGATTCTGCCCCGGTTTTGTTGGGAGTTGATGTTTGCTTGCGTGAGATCATTGTTCTGACGGCCTTCCTATGGTTCAACACAACTCGCTACACTCAGGTGTTCCAGTGGTATGAAGACCTCGCATTGTATAAGCAAGGCGCCCTTGTTTCAGTGGCAACAATGCTGGTGGTCGTGCTTGGGATGAAGGCAACAGTTTCACAGAATTCAGAATGTTTGACATTGATGTTGGGAGCAATGATGGTCATGATGGTGATGATCGTGAAGAGGATCGATGAAAAGACAACGACAATCTTCCATGTTCTGGGTCAAGAAAGAAGGAAGACTCAGGAGTTGATCCATGCTGGCATGCAACAAATGTTTGCGGAGAACAACGTGATGCTGACTGGCATGGATGGTATGAAACACGCCAGTAATGAAGACTTCAAGAAGATGTCAATGTTCATTGGTGATGGCAACAGGCTCACCTAACAGAAGATGGATGACGTCGCAGAAGAACCCAATTACAGAGTCACCAAGGTCGTCGACAGATTGATCAGGATTGAATACAAGCAAGAAAGACAGGAGGTGAGAGCTCTGGACTTGGAAAAGCGGTTGATCCATGAGAAGAGAGCCATCCTGCAGAAGAGACAAGATAGACGGGAAGCCCCAGGTACACCGACAGAGTCGGAAGTGATGAGCATGCTGGAGGACCCAGCAGCGCCGGAATTGTTTGTAGAGCCAGGAGCAGATGGTCGCCTGGCACCACAGGAAGAAGAAGGAGATAGTCCTCATGATGACTATCAAAGTGAACCAGATGCAACGACAAGAAAGAACATCGGCATGAGTCAAGAGAACTGGGAAAAGCTGACCGTGAAAGAGAGAAAGTACTTTCTGCTGACGGCGATATGGGAAGCAGCACGTGTGTACAAAGATGATGAACATATGTACAGCGTCAACCAACAGATGCAAGCACTTGCTGGTGAAAACCAACTCAGAAGCACTGGCAAGAACATCCGGCGCTAGCAGTTCACATCACGATGCGCAGACTGTGCCTCAGGAAGTTCCACAGAATGTTGAGGAATGTCAAGAGGACAAGTTTGCTACATGAAACTTCCTGAGACACCAGTGATTGCACAACCAAACGGTACATGTCACAGCCTACAGGTGACAGTGCTAAGGTTCGATACCCGAAGGCCTTGAGCCGGCCCGAATTGCGAGCAAAAGCTGTTCGTGTTTTCGTTGCGCGCTCTTTGCAATATATATATATATATAATACTAAAAACATATATATATATATACAACCACGTGAGCGAAAGCACTCTTTCCTTGATTTTGAAAGGGCTGCACAGTCGACCTATGCCAGCACACGCTCTCCTCCCATTGGCTCAATGGGACGTGCGCTGAGCTTGGTGAAAAGGACCCAGCCTTCAGCTCAAACCCTCTCAGTTCATCTCTTCCTGGATGTAGATCCAATCGTGCCATTGGCAAAGGCAGCGTTGGGGCCACTTCTTTCTGTTCCTGAGGGCAGTCCCTGTCAGGTCCAGGGGCCATTGGCCCTTGTGGGCCATCAGAGCGCTGAGGACCACGAAGCCCAGTCGGCGCAGGTGTAGAAGGCCTCTTGGGCGCAGAGCACTTGGAGTCATGGCCGGTCCAGGGTCAGCGCGCAGGGCCAGCGCAAGTGGGATTCTTGTTTTTTCTTTGAGCTTGACCCCTCCGTAGTCGAATTTCATTTCGGGTATGACAAGCTCGAGCTTCAGTTTTGGGATCGCCCATATCTGTTCCAGTGAGCACGAAGATGCAGCTGCGCACATGCAGCCTTGGCCTTCGCTTTCCTTTGTTGGGTTGGACCGGCGTAGGTTCCTTTCTGCGCCGCCTTGCCCCCAAAAAGGTTGCGCGCGAGGTTCAATCGGAGGCCGCTGTGGTCGATGACCTCGGAGTATTGCGGCCTTCCGCTTGGAGGCGTCTTGGGCCTCAGGGAAGATGCCGCGCTTGGAGAAGTCGACTTAGCCCTTGGAATTTCTTGGAGCCGCCGACGTGAGGTTTCCTTCAATCCAGCAGCGCCTGCCTTCTCAGCATCACGAGGCTGCTCCTGCAGGAAGAGGACCTTAGCCTCCATCGCGTTTTGAGCCCAAGAGCAACCAAAGCCATAGAACACGATCCCCCGACTTGTTGCGCAGGTTCTCAAGAGCTCAGGACCATCTCGCGCAGGAACAAAAGTGAAGCTTGCTGACAGCGCCACAGTGTGTCCACCAAGAAGACTCGCTCCCCCTACGCCAAGTTCAGCCAAATAGCGCGCCAGTCCACCGTTAAGAAGATTTTCACGAGGGGGAAACACGATCAACGCAAACGACGGACCTTGAAGTTGAATCCAAATACCTTGACCACCGCGATCACAAAGTGCCAGAAATAAACCTCCGCCTCATCCTCCGGTTCCATGGAAGACGCTCGACGTCCCATTTCCGAGTAGGAAAGACACAGGCCACAAGCTCGTCCACGGGACTTCAGAAAACAACGGGCGAAAGGCCATTCCGAAAACCGCCAGATCCACCGGCGCGAAGAACTACTTCTTCACCGCGGGACCACCACAGACGCCGGCTTCCTTCTTCAAGACAAGGACGCTCCGGTTTGAACTTCGGAGCTGGCGGGGTTGGCAAATGCTTTGGAAACAGGTTGTGGGACGCCTCCAATTTCTCCAGCCGTACCTTGCTCGCGGACCAGCATCTTCGCTGATGAATTCCATGAACCGCAGGCGCAACATCTGCCCTAGTGCGCCAATTTGCCTGGGAGTCGTCCGCGGTCTGGTGAGTGAATTCCTAGTTCGAGACCACCTCCCCCAAGACCTCAAACTTGACAATCACCCTGGCAACGAGGGCGAAGGTTGTCCGCCAAGTTCTTGAGAAGTAAAGTCCTCCCACCCAATCCGCCAGACGCCCGGAACATCAATTCCACCAACATTGTCAGCCGACGCGAGATTGCGTCGTTCGCAATCCTTCCGGCCAAGCCTTCAACAAAGCGACTTGTCCTTTCTGTTGGCGGAAAGTTGAAATGCAGCTTGTCCATTGGCTCCACTTGAATCCACTGCCGATCCATAGAAGCACCGTGCCACAAGTGAGCCGAAGAAGAAGACTAAAGTCGCATCCGATTGCGAATTCATCTGGATCTCTACAACATCCAGGGCCTCCAACAAGCCACGTGACCGTGACCAGGCCCACCAGGTCTACTCCGCCCAGGCCCCACAACGTGTAGATTCAAGTTCGCTAGGATGACTTTTTTGGGCATGACCATCAACGCCAGCGCTTCTGCTGGTCACCAGGATGAACACGGATCTCCAGGGCGTGGACTTGCAAGAGGCGCCAACTCCTTCCACTTACCTCCACCCATGGACCCATGGGAGCCAACAACGCAGGAATGTACCCTGCGGTGGACTTCCTACAGCCTTGCTGGGTCATGAGCGAAAGAGTTTTTTCCTTGATTCCGACAGGGTTCCATAGTCGGTCTATGCTGGCGCATGATAAGATACACGTCAACATATATATATATTGTTTTTATTTATTTATGATACATGTGTATTTGTTGCGCGTGTATAAATATAGTTGTATAACTTTTTACATACATGCATGCATCCATCCATGCATGCATGCATACAGACATACATACATGCATATATCCACTCGTTGGTGCGACAGGAACCAACCTGCCAAGTCCTCCTGCCTGTCTTCCACAACAAGTCAGCCAGCCCCATGTTTCTTTGCACCAAGGAGCTACCGAAGACTTTGTAAAGAGCCCAAAGAGTCCTTAGATCAGTGGGGTTGTTTTATTCTTGGCAGGCTGCAGAAAGTGACGCTTTGTTCTTGTTGGTGAATTCCTAACGGCAAGCTGACTTCAAATGAAGTTCAAAAGGTTTTGCCACTTCGCTAAGCTGAAAAGATTTACAAGATGGCTATTTCGCTTGCACACGTGACTTTCAGAACTGCCCGCCAACTAGGTCAAATTTCCAACACTTGTCTGTAAAATCATGGGGCAAAGCGTTGCCTAGTCTTTGGGACACATCACGATTTATTGTTCACTTTCGATTGTCTGAAACCGTGCGCGCCATTAGCTCAAAAACCAATCCTAAGTCGTCGCAACTCTCATTTGTTCCCTTTCAGCCGAAGACTGAGTGTTGTCCAGCTAGGCATTGCCTCACAAGCAGAGGCGATGGATGCTGTGAGGTGCGTAAATGTTTGGGTGTGCCAAACTGCGTTTAGATATTACCGTTTTGTTTGTGTCCATCGTGTCTTGCATTTTGTTAACTGAATCAGCAAATTTGCTGGTTCTCCTACGATGTTCTGGTGTTTTGGTAGTGATTGAAGATTTACCGAACATGTAAGGTTGCAAGGCTACTGAAAGATGAGATTTGCTCTGGCTTAGACCAATGGAGTTCCGGGCCATTTTATGTTTTGTTTCAGCGCGTAGCTGGTGGAGGCAGGCAGTGGAGGAGAATCCGATCGTTCTGTTCCTTGGCACTGGTGGACCCCTCCGCGTTCAAGACACTGATTGGTTAATTACTTTGAAAATTTCTGTGAACTCCAGGACTTTTCGATGCGACCTCGGAATTGAGTCCACGGCGGGCTGAAGACAATCCGTCTACCATCAAAGCCCCCGTGCTATGTCGAACAAACAAACTCTTTTGCTGCGAATCTCTCGGCCATGATGCCTTGTGAATCTCATGGCATTCCAATTTCTTGCAGCATGTTTGTTTCTGAGGTTTATGAAAGGCACCCCCGCTATGCCCCAGTCTCTAGCCTCAGCGAAGGAGGCCTTTGTCACAGGCTAGAGCGTTGATCACTTTGATCTCCAAGCTGTACTTCCTTGAACCCCTTGTAGCAGGGACTGACGATGCTGTGAGGTGCGGTTTTAGCGCGCGAACCTCTGGCCTGCTGCGAGAGATAGGCAGAGTGCCTGGGTTGACGCCTTTAGAAATGCAGTGAAGCACATTATCTAGGTGGGCCTGACATTGACCATGATATGAAAGAAGTAGAAAGAAGCACTTTGGATGGCATAAAGGGATCAACTTCAACTTGTGGGTGCATCACGAAGGCGGAACCACGCAGAATTGGCTTCTTTTATCTCATTGCCAGAAGAATAAGACGAAGTAAACAAGGGGTTTTTTCACTCCGCGGGATAAATAGTGTCCCTGAACATGTTTGGCTCAAGTGTGAGAAAGGCTCAGCCACTGTTTTGTGTGGTTATCAGCCGTAGGTCTCTATCTTTCCCTTGTTCCGCGTTTGAGTCCTTCACCTCTCTGGCCATTGCTGCTCTATTGCCCTCCTCTTCGAGTCCTTGCGCTCCCTTCTCTGCCGCGGCTGCTCGACTGCTCTCTTCGCGAATCTTGGCCAGTGTATGCCAAGAAGGGAAAGGGGGGGACAGAAGACAAAGCGTTCTAAGGAACTAACAGAGGAAACCGTTAGAGGGAATCACAACCCCAGATTTGCCCCAACTAGCAAAGCGGGCGTGGAAAGGCTCCAAGCTGTTGTTCAAAGGGTAGTGCTAGAAGAAACAAGGCCGAAAAGTGCTCCTTCTAACGTGGAAACCCTTCAAGTCTCAGAGCCCAAGTCGTCGGTCGTTTCGGCTGAGCCAAGTCGCTTGGTCTCGCCCAAGGTCGGTTTTGGTAGCTCGCTGTCCCTAGGTCCCAGCGCTGGTTCTAGTAGACTTGGTACCCCAACTCCTGAAACACCCCCAAACCCCACAGAGGTAGGGTTGGCTTTGCCCTCAAAGAGGAAGTCCGAGGAGAAGCCTGAAGACTCAAGAGCTGAAGGTGTGAAAGCTAAGGGTGTCCAGTTGCTGTCGGAGGCTGCGAACCTCGGACTTCGACCAAATCCCGGGTTGAGAATTGGGTCCCCCTCACCACCGATCCCTGAAGGGGCCACCGTTCGTATTTCCATAGATTTGCACGGGGTTCTTGACTTAGGCGCGGCAACTGAAGGGTGTTGGTCAACTGACGCAAAGTGTTGTTTAGCTAATTGGCTTCACACCGACAGGCGTCACGAGGCAGGTGTTTGCAGTTATATAGGTTTGCGCGGGCATTCAAGCAACAAACGCAGATCAGAAGCAATCCGTGAGCTGCACTCTTTCAACCAGAGTAATTTCACCGACCTCAGGCTTCTCATTACTAGTGACAGGGATAAACCCGCCTTAGTGCCAGAGGAAGTTGCAGTACACATAGACGATAGACTTGATCTAGCAGCGAAATTGCGTGAAAGGGGTGTTGACACAGTCTTTGTAAATCCTAATCTGCGCAATCCTTCAAAAGGGTTTTTCGTTGCCTCGAGTGTGGCAGAAGCTTTTGTGGAAATAGGTCGCCGTCGCTATATCCCTAAAGTCTATAGGACCCGGTGGCCAGGGATTTTCACAAGCGGCTAAGCAGGGTGTGTTTTGCGGCTCACCTTGCGCCTGGCGCGGGGAGTTGCGCATCTGCTGCTTTGAGCGAAACATCGAATCTTTTCTTGAATGGAAGGGGAAGGGTCGAGTTCAACGTCCTTTCAACTGACCAGTGGTAGTTCGGAGCAAATTGGGGAGAGATTCGTCGAGTGACTCTAGTTCAGCACCGGGAAAACGTCCGGGCCCCTACCTCGCTAAGTCATTGAGGGGTCGTAGCCCACATCCCCAAGCCACGTTGCCACCTAGGATGGAAGAACATGTTTCGGGTTCACCGTCTAGCGGGGGTAGCTTACCTTCGTTGGTTGATTTGAGGCCAAGTGCTATGGAGATTGAAATGAGGGCTGAACAAGGAACGCATGATTTCAGGGGAAGTCAGACCATGAACCATGACCAAAGATCAGTGAACTTTGATCAAAGATCAATAAACGTCGAGCAGCATGCTCATGGGGTAAACCCCGAACTGTACACCCAAATGACTGTTGCGGCTGCTAGTGCGGAGCTTAGAGCACAAACAACTCAAGAAGTTGCGGGGTTCAGAGAAGCTGCCATATCAGCTGCATCGGACCTCAGATCGGAAGCCGTTCAAGCAGTTGCCAACGCCAGAGTCGAGACGACAGAGGCGCAGGCACAGACGTTGGGGGCCTTGGCTGAAATCCAACGTTTGCAGCAGCAGTTGGAAGGTTCCCAAAGGGAAAACCAACTCGCGAGGGAACAGTTTCAACAGCTTCTTGGTCAGGTTCAAAGAGAAAACGCGAATGAGACCAACAATGCTACGGGCTTTGTGCAAGTGAGTTTTAGACTCCAGTCCATTGAAACACAATTGGAGCGTCTTGAACGTAAAATTGATACTCACCAAGAGTACATTCA